GCGAAGTCGAGTTCCCCTTCGTCTTCAGTATACGAACGTTCGGGAGAAGACTCCAGCAGAGGACTTCGAGTCTTTCTTCTCCTAGGATGGACATCAGCGTCTTCGTCTGTCGAATCGGCCTAGTCGCTCCTCTCCAGGTTAACCCGTTCGATGCCGTCACCCTCGGTCTCCTGTTCGTGAATAGGAGGTTTTTCCGATTCGTTCAGCGTCGCATCAGGATTGTCTTTTTCGGAATCTTTTTCCGGTAAGTTACCCTGCTCGGTTCTGGGACGATCCGTAGGAGCGCCAAAGTCCAGCCTTCTTCCGCGGATCTTAGTAGTTCCGCGGGGGCGAATTGCTCGGGTTTTCGCGGTTAGGGTTTCTACCCGTTTCGCGAGCGAACCGATGAGCTTTTCCTGCTCTTCTGATTTTTTTGTTAAAATCGGAAAGCATCTTCTCGAGGGTCTCAGCGTTAGCGTTCGTAGCGTTGGCCGCAAACGCTCCTTGTGGTGGTGTTGTTTCAACGTTATCGCGTTCGTCGAGAGTTTGGTTGTCACAAGTCATCGTTTCTTCGTTGGACATGTTGCGGCTTCGGTGTAAGATAGATCCGACCCCCCCCCCTCCTTCTAGCGCCAAACTGTGGGAACCGAAATCCACCTACTGTCAAATAATCGTAAATACGGAAACTTCGGGAAAACCCTAAGTTTCCAGAGGAACCGGCTATCTGCAGAACCGCACAACGAAGATTAAGATAACAAGAAACTTAGAATTATTAAAAGAATGAACGAAAATCGAGAGGAAAGAGGTTCTTATTCTGAATCTGCGTAGAACTGGTACAAAGAGAGAAGCCGAAAACTTAAGAACGAAAAACCCTAATTGAGACGCAGCTCGCTAACAGAAAAACAGAAATTTGCCTAAATGCTAATTTTGGTGGTGAGAGCTCTGAATTTCGTGTGTCTTGCTTCTGCCCTAGACCTCTTATTTATATAGTCCTCGCCTTGGTCATCCGGTCTTTCCATTTCGCCCAGATTTGACTATATCGGGAATTTTCCATTTTTCTCGATCATTCCTTTTCTTCCGTGGAAATCTTCTATTTTTCTTCAAACCTTCCTTTTATCTTCAAACTTGATTTCTATTTTTCTCCTGCAAGTAAACCGTCAAAACGTTATCAAATCTGCGGGTTAGATTCCGTTAAAATCGCGAGATGGGTTTTTATCGCTTTTTAGGCCCTTTCGGGTCGTTTTTGCGATAAATCCGTTTTCCGACTTTTTACGGGATCGTTTCCTGATCTGACGTCGTTTTTAATAAATTCCTCGAGCTAATCGTAAGGTTTTACGATTTACTCGACTTTTTAATTAAAAACGCGTTTTTTTACGATTTACTCGACGTTTTTATTAAAAACGCGTTTTTTACGATTTCGACGAGAAATCTAAAATAAATCGTATGTTTTAGGCAATGTTCAGTGTTTCGTCAACCGTCGCTGTTTTATACGATTTCTTCCAGTTCTTTATCGAGAAAGCGAAGTTTTACGGTTTTTATCGTAAAACTCGAACGATAGGTCGGATCGAGATGGAACGGGAGATGTTTCGACCATGGTTCAGAATGCGACCGTGTCGAAAGACGTAAGTTTTGAATCGGGAATGCGGGAGATCGAGGCTCGAGACGTCCAGGAAGCTTCTAGTTCGCCCATTGGCGAACTAAGCCGGGCCAGCTTAGTTCGCCAATAGGCGAACTAGTCGAGCACTTCCTAGTTCGCCCATTGGGAACTAAGCCGGGCCAGCTTAGTTCGCCAATAGGCGAACTAGTCGAGCACTTCCTAGTTCACCCATTGGCGAACTAAGCCGGGCCAGCTTAGTTGGCCAATAGGCGAACTAGTCGAGCACCTCCTAGTTCGCCTATTGGCGAACTAAGCCGGGCCAGCTTAGTTCGCCAATAGGCGAATTAGTCGAGCACCTCCTAGTTCGCCTATGGGCGAACTAAGCCGGGCCAGCTTAGTTCGCCAATAGGCGAACTAGTCGAGTAACTCCTAGTTCGCGTTTTATGGCTGTTTCGGTTTTTTTGCGGTTTCGTAAAACGATTTTCGAGTTTTATAAAACGATTTCTCGAGTTTTATAAGACAATTCTCGAGTTTTATACGACGATCTTCGAGTCTTATAAAACGATTTCTCAAGTTTTATAAAACGATTCTCGAGTTTTATAAAATGATTTTCGAGTTTTATAAGACAATTCTCGAGTTTTATAAGACGATCTTCGAGTCTTATAAAACGATTTCTCGAGTTTTATAAAACGGCTTCTCGAGTTTTATAAAACGGTCTGCAAGTTTTGTAAATGAATTTGAGTTTTATAAAACGATTTTCGGGTTTTATAAAACTATTCTTTTTGTATTTTTGCGGGGAGTTTTGGATATTAATTCCGTCGTACCGATTTTGACCCCAACACCTCTTGTTTATTATTTATTGATTCAGACATGTTTTCTTCATCTCTATTCTCTGTGATTTTTCTGTTCATGGCTGAGTAGTCACTTGTTAGGTTTAGGGTGTTAGGGAACATGGATTAATGAGCTAGACACAAATAGGATTGATATTATTTGATATCTCTATCTATTGCTATTCTTACTGCTTGTGTTAATCTGGCCATTCAACATCTGATATCAGGTTTAATCTAATCATCAAAAGTGTTTTAGGCTGCTAGAAAAAGCATAGATAGGCGATTTGTCCTTAGCCAACGAGAGCTTATGTTAAGGCAAATTGTGAACCAATTGAATCTGATCTTAATGCTTGTCATCAGTCTCTAATCCAAACGATAGTTTAGGTATTAGGTTTGTTGATAAATTGGTAGATACCAAGACAGTGGGTTTATTTAATCTTGTTGTTTAAGTTCTAGATTGGCTCGTACTGTTTTCCAGAATAGTTGTGTAGCTCATGATCCTAAGTATCCCAATGAATCATCCTAAACCTAGCTCTTTTATAATCTGAAACCAAACCAACTTGTTACTTGCTTTTTATGTTTTCTTTATTTTAAAACCCCATATTGTTTTATCTTAATATTGATCCTATAATAATAAAGTGTTAAATTTGGTCTCTGTGGATTCGATCCTCAAGTACTACATTGAACCTCTTATTTGAGAGAGTAGCTTGAAGGTTAATTTGAGCGTATCAACTTTCCGGTCCATTCGTCAGATTTTGACCTTTCCGGTGAATTCTCGACCCGCGATCACTCTCGAATATTTTTCCGTTCCGTTTTGATGAGATGAATATTTTTATAAACTCCAAAATAATTGTGACCTTGATGGAAAATATTTCCCGAACCTCCGGCTTCCTCGAAAAGTTCCATAATACCAAAATTAGGGTTTATACTCGATTTTGGGTTTTCCCCGTCGTGCTTCGATCCCTCGTGCTTACTTCCCATCGTGATTACTTCCCATCCTGCTTAACTCCCATCCTGCTTTCAACTTATGATTTCTCTGAAATTATATTCCGCTGATACGAATTTATGGAGAAAAGTTCGTGCTTCTAAAACGTCGAGCTTCTAAACCGTCGTGCTTCCAAATATTATATTCCCAAAACGGCCGTCTGATCAATCTAAAACACATCTAACAATGGTTGAGCAGCTTATTTCGACTCATGGTTCACTCATGATCCATTCTTCGACCTTCTCATACTTCAAAATTTTCTGATCTATTCGTATAGCCCGCGACTCGACCACAAAGTAGATGCTCGACCAATCTTCTATTTTCTTTAATCCGTGTCAAGTTTTATATGATAAAAACTCAACATTCCTCCAAATATGTAGACTCCGAAAAGCATGGTTCCGGATTCTGACTTTTACTCTCTCGACCATTTTATCCCGAAGGGCGGGTTATCACACCCACAGTTTTCAATGATCATTACCAGACTTATGAGATCCCAAAGACCATGGAGAAGGAGAAACTTGTCAGCCAAAACACTTTGACCAGGTCCAAAGAAAAACCAGAGCAAGCTATTGTCCAAGTAAAGGATAAAGTAAGTCCTATACTTGATAATTTGGTTTATAAATCATCTCCCACTGTTATGAGTCACTTGTCTTTGACTAAGAATGTTAAGACAGGTCCTGAGGTCCAGAAAGATACGACCTCAAAATCCTTGTTGGAATCCAAAGATGTCCATGATTTATGTCCAATGAAATAGGAGATTCCAAACTCAAAATAAAAGGCATCAAGCCAAGATTACTCGTTTAGTTATAAAATTCTAAAACACCAGACATGTTATAGATGTCATAAAAGAGGAAAATTTTCTGTAGTCCGCCCCACTAAGCAAGCATTGATAGAAACATCACTAGAAAATGAAACAGATTTATCTAGGAAAAGTTATAGTTTTATTCAATCTGATTTATTGGTTCCAAATTATTGTATGATGCACTTGTCTTTGTCAAGAGGTGTTGTAACAGGAACTAAAAGCAAGAGTTCACTGGAGAAGAACCACCAGACGTCACCCTTGTGATGGACCAAATGCTGGTTCAAGACACATTGCTGTCCATGATGCTTAAAGAAACAAAACAAGTAACTGAAGTATCAAGTCAAGGGAGCAAGAATGAAAGCCTTACGCTGACTGAAGTGCCAGGGGCCGAGCCAGAACAGGAGCTCAGTCAAAATCTACACCACAAGTGGATGCCAAAATTTGAGCAATGTGTTGTTCAAATACCAAGGCTTAAAGTTTGTTTCACATTGGACCATAATTTTATTATTTGCACTTTTCTAAACCGAAAATTAGTATATTGCATTATATGTGGGCTTATCTTAATCGATATTAGTATTGGGCTTTTCTAAATAGGCTGTAGACGTATTTTATCACCTACTATAGTTCAAGCTAAAATCAAGAAGTTACAAACGAAATATTACCTCAAACTCAGCTTCATACAACTCATCCAACACACTCATTGTTCAACTGTCAATAAGAGGAGTTAAACCCTGCAATAACAAACAAAGATATCCACTTATATAACATCAGCAACAAATAAGCAAATGAAACGCATCAGTAAGTAACATTTTCGTATCTCTGCACAACGGCTCTATGCCTATAGGCGAGTTTCCTCTTGTTCAAATCATCATTAGGAGAAGTGAACTCGTCTTGCTTGAAGTCATACCTAGAAAGATCCTTGCCATCATCATACTCCCTCAATAAATCAATAAACGGCTCATTACAATCCTCAATCTACAACAAAAAAAAAACACAAGAGTACTTAGGTTTTAGTGTCTGGTTTGAATAAGTTTTGTGAACACAAAGGAACTTACTTGCTCGTAGAAGAAGCAATCATCACAGATCTTAAGTATGTGTTTCTCCCACATCTCACCAATCTCAACACCTCTTTTAACATCTCTAGAGCCATTGAAAGACTCAGCGTAAGTCCCATTCAACAGATATCTAAGTAAGATAAGAGTCTCGTCCATGTCCCATATGTATACATTCACTGGAAGATCATTGGACACTAAAGCTTCAAGATTTTGTGATGTTGAAGCATTCATAGTATGCCCTTGTCCCTGAAATTACTTATTGATCAAGTAATATAAAGATTCAAGAGATGCACACAAAGTTCAGAATCAATTGAGAAAGTAAAAGATTTTAGATTAAATTATTTAACAAAAATCCTAGCTTTCAGACCGAAATAGGGATAACATAGAATTCAAAATACAATACCTGCCACTGATAGGATGAGCAAGATCAAGCTCTTGAGCTAAGTGACGAAGGGAAGCAGTGAGCGAGCGGCTAACGAAACGACTTCGTTTTGTTGTTTACATACAAAACAATTACAAACTACGTGTTCCAAATTGCAAAGCCTCCTTGCCATGGTGAGAACACACGACTTTCTCAAAAACGTATCAAAATAAAATTGAATAATGAAGCAGAGATTTTGACAAAATGGAATCACTTGAACACCTCTAACCCCTGACCTGATCATGGCTCACAGATAGCAAGTACTCTATGGTTCGACCCAAAGTGGTATCAGTCACAGCATCAAAGTGACAAGACGACTCGTGTGTTTCCCCAAATCCAATTAAATCCAAAAACCCTAATCCCCAAATCCAATTAAACGATCTCAAGTCACAACCATGCGATCTCAGAAACATCTAAAAACCCGAATCCCCAATTCCAATTAAACGATCTCAAGTCGAAACCGTGCGATCTCAGAAACATACGCCTATAAAACGATCAGGGTTTGACTTCCACACGGATATCGCGAACTGCAGTGACTTTTTGTCTACCTCCACATCGTCATCGCAAATCAAAACAGCGCGAGTGTCTACAGAAGGGTGAGGGAAGGACGTGGTGTTGAGGCTGCTCGATGATTTCTGAATCAGAGATATCTCATAAAAAAGAGATCGAAGAAAGAGTGTCGAAGAAAGTGATTGAAGAAAGAACGACCAAATATATTTAGTGGGTAGTTTAAAAAAAAGGGAAAACAATCGACCAATAAAATTATAAGAATATTTTCGAGAGTGTCTGTATGATTGCCACATCATGAGAAGTCACTAAAATTAAACGAACATATAGTCAATAATAGTGTATAACTTCAGTTAACCAAATCTAAACCAGAATTGTGTTAAAAAAAAAGTTGTGTAGCACGAGTCGTAGTTAGGCCTTTCCGTTCTTAATCCCATTAGAGCTCCGTAGATTTTACCGGAGTTTTCCCAAAGTTGCCAAGTTTGTAAGTGCAAAGATGACACCACAATTAAGTACTGCAGAAGATAAATCAAGAGACAAAATATATACAAGCAACACCTTTGCTTTATTAGAAATCATCTTTAAACAATCTATTACAAGACTTGCTTATCAGCTTTACACGTCTAGTGTTAACACCCTAACATCCGTCACTGAAGGATTCCTAATCTATCCAAACTTGTCTCTCCATCGTCGTATGCTTCAGCATCTGCTTCAGCACGACCCATGAACACCCTAAGGGATTTTCACTCTTCCTCTATAATAAAAGCCCCAGTGTCTTATGGAATACACACGACTCCATAGCTCTCTTCTAGTGATCTCCACGTTCCTGAAACCATAGTCTCCAAGGCAACATGGATATATGGACAACTTCCATATTAATTACACTTTCCTTTTCTTGGATTTGTACTTATTCCTCAAGGCATAAACTTGCTCTCCAAGTTTATCTCTTGTCTTTTCTCCACGGTATAAACTTGCTTCTCAAGTTTATCCCACGCCAGCTCAGCATATTGCATCCACATGGTCTCTACCACTCTTCATGCCTCCTGGTTCACTCTCTGACACACGCTGCATCAGCAACTACTTCAACGACTACGTCAAGACATAAACCTCTAGTTTATCCTTCTCCATCTTAGCATATCTTGCATCCACATGGTAACCTACCACTCCGCATGCTTTATGTAGTAACGACTAATGCCTACAGCATCAGTGACTTCGTCGCCTAGTTAGTCACGGAAGACTATTGACATCTACAAACTTTTCTTGCATCAACAAATTTTTCGATAAATTCTTTAATAAAGAAGGTTATATGAGAAACAACAAAAGCAGAAGACACTTCCACTTCCGGTTGTGTCTTCTTCCTCTTCGCATGCACGTCTGTCTATTTGTCCTCTCATGCCTAAGGTTTGTGTTTTGACTCTTTCCACTTGTGGTCTACTCAATAAGTTATGTTCTTTATGACTTTGATCTCACAATTGACTCAGATCATAAAAAACTCCACTGTTTTTTTTTTAGAACGGGTTATGATAAACTTCACTGTTGTGTCTCATGTTGATACTGAAACAACATTTTTATATTACTGGTTGGGTTTTAGAATCTAGGCAAACAATTTCTTCACCAGTCGTGTACACATGTTATAGTTTCAGGGAGTGTATGAAATATAAATAGTATAAAAGAGTTTACATTATGATGCTGATTCAAGGTGAAAAACATGAATATAAATAATCTATGATATGTACATACGTGTGTACATTATGATTCACAAAAGAATGAGCTATCTCATCTGGTATTATTAGCTTATTCGAAGTGGATATATATGTTCAGTGGTCTTCTTCTTTTCTTTTTTTTTTTCCTCTTTCCGATTATATCTATTTCGTTTCTGGTTTCCAAGTTGCTGGAGGCACCAAAGTGGCTATCAAGATGTGTTGGTCCCAAAAGCTAACATATAACATTGCAAAACTTTCATCAAAGTCTAGAGAATCACAAGTTGATAATTTATTTAAATTTCTGTAATACTAAAAGTGTAAAAGAAAGTCTAATCAATTTTTTTTAATAAATATTATAAACAAAGTGGGGTTTTGGACGGGTTAAGGTGTGCCGGATCGCGGGATAATATCGGTTTTTTGGGGTTTGTTGGGTTTTACGAGTTTTTAATTAACGGATTTTTAGTTAACTCAGAACCGGATTATTTACGGATCACCGGATTTACCAATTCAACCGCGGGTCCGGATCGGATATAAAAACACTGTTCTTTTGATAATGCGTCTTCAACTTATCAACTTATAAATTAAATACATTAAAATAAAAAGTATCCGCGTGGTCTCGCGAGTCAAAACTGTAGTCTATATTAAAATAAGAGAGTTTACCCTCTCTTAAGGGTATCCATCTCATCATGTTTATGTCCTACCAAAAGACTTGATTTATTAATTATTAATTTTAATTTATAGTTATTTTCTATTTTTTCTTATATATACGATTGTATATACTGGTTTGGCACACTATTTTCAAAATTTATCATCATTTTCAAAATAGAAAAATAAAAATCACACTCATACTATTACCAACCGCATCTTTTTATTAAAAAAACTTGACACACAAAATATACATTTGGCTCAAAAAATCATATACAAACCAGATAATTTAATTAGTTTGGCCATACACTAATATAGTGGCAAAACATAATGATCTACAACATTCAATTTTTTTGTTTTTTGAAATTCAACTATTTTTATTCAGCCTGCAAATTTAAATATCAAAAGCCATTTAAATGAAAGATAACTCATATGTTGCTTTAATACCAACTAGATTTCAATTCGTGAAACCGCGCAGGTTTTACTTTCAATATATATACATAAATATATATTTTACATTATTAGTGATCTTAGTCATATAGTCAAATTTTTATAAAACTATTACAAATAGGATAAATTTATTGTTCACATGTTAATAACAATTGTTTCAGTCGTTTCTTATTATATATTTATCTTCTTGGATTTACATTTGATTACTAAATAAATTAATATATGCATGCAAAATCATATTTGAAATTATTTTATATTTAATTTATACTAAATTAGCAAATTTTTATGTTTCTTTATATAATATAGTATTGTATATATAAATGTTTATATGTTAATTTTACACATGTGTTATATGGTTACTAACGGTAACCTATTCTGTGTATTATATTTTTTAAATTTAATATTTTCTATTTATGAAAATAAAATAGATTTATCTATCCATTTAATAAAATTTTACTATAATATTTTTTTTAATATGAAACAATCTGATTTTATAAAAGATAAATAAAAAGACATAATTTTTAATTTTTTTTATAAAAGATAACTATATATATATATATATATATATATATATATATATCAATGCATAATTTATATTCTTTACTAATTCAAAATGAGTGAAATATTTACATAATTTTAAAATGTTAAGATCTTGTTAAATCTCTTTCAACAGATATTTGTAATTTTTAATATATATTTATATTTAAATAAAAAGATATCAAAATATATATGATTAAAGTAGTTACAAATATTTTATTATTAGATTTAGTGAACTACATATGTAAGAGTTTCTAGTGATGGTCAATTTTTTTTTAAAAAATCACACATGAACCAAGGTCATGAATTCTATTTTAATATTTAAGATAATTACTCCATCAACATGCATCTTCAATTTCAAAATGTCTTTCAACTTTTCAACTTCCTACTAGAGACGTTTCGGCAATGTTTACATTAATTAACCTTATAAAATATGATCTTCTAACGGAAATAATTCCACACACCCTCCTTCATCATCCTATATTTTTATTCTCTTTATTTTCACTTTTCAAATAGATAAAATCAATGTTTATAGCCAGATTTGAAAAAGAAGTAAAGGTCAAAACAAGTTTATCCATATTGTAATTGTGTTGTGAGGTAACATTTTTTGACTCCTCTATTCTTACCATAAAAAATGATTCATAACTTTGTCTGACTTCAGTTAGATATATAATCAGAAAGCTTTTGATTAAGATATAATTTTTGGTTCTAAAATGTTGTCTTTCTTCTTGATGTGCTTCCACTACCGAATTTAAAAGCGTCTTACGTCAAATGAAACTTAATCAATCAACCAACATCATACCTTTTTATAGTAAACAAATAAAATTATTTTATCTCTACAAGTAGTCTTTGTTTAGTACCAACTCCAAATTTTACTATATATGTGAGAAGAGGGAGGTCTGTACGCTGTTAATGATATTTTTGGTTTTAATTAGGCATAAAAGTTCTTACATTTTTTGAAACTTAATGTCCCTCTTACTTGCTAATTTTACTTATACTCCCTATTGAACATCGGTGATTGTAGGTAAAATAGTTTAGCCTGACGTCAATGACGATAATGTTTGTGCTTCAGTTGTCGACACTGAATAACCAAGCTCCCTTAAAACCTGCATGAATCTCCTTTTCGAGGTATTTTTGTCCAAACTTTAAACAATATTTCTGACTACCATTAAGTGTATCAGAAATCACAACAAAAGTGAAATAAACAAATTGGGAATATAATATAGTGTACATGTTTGAGTCGATTTGAAGAAAACGAAACAATTCATTTTCCATATACATAAGACTTTCAAATTCACAGCCAAGCATTACGTTTTCAGCCTAATATTTTTACATAATCCATCGAGAAAGATAGTTCTATAATAGGAAAAAGATTGATTGTTTAACATCTTATTGTCACAAACATAAAATATTATATTGACAACTGTTTTGATTATTATAGATGATAGTCACAGTTTAGAAAGATACGTTTCAAATTAAGCTAAATATACTCACCACTTCTGAGTATATGGGAATCTCTTGTGGATATGACTGTGGTAGTGTTTCAAAATGATACACATATTTCTTTCTAAAGTCATCTCTTCCTCCATTTTTAGTTAATTTTTTTTTTTTGGTTTTAAAAATAGTAGACCGTATTTCTTTTAATCTTCTACTAGATTCTGATCTGCACAAGGGTACAGATGTTTAAAAAAATATATTATTAAAAAAAATCATACATGATTGATTGTGTATATTTTGATGCTTACAATATTTAATATGATTTTATAGTCTATATCTATCCATTTTGTTAAAAAATTTTTTTTAAATTGTCATCTTTTTAGTTATTTACATATATATATATATATAACAATGAAGGTAAATCATTATTTTCTTACATTATTATTTTTTTATCATAACAATCTATTAATGTTGAATATATATTTTTAGTTCTTAATAATAAATAAATAGGTATTAGATGATATTTTTACTATAACTTTATACATATTTATTATAAATATTTCTAAATGTAAGGAATATACATATTTGAAGTTATTAATAAACATTTCTTTTAGTTTTAATAGTTTAACTTATGTGGTTATTTTCAATTAAGGTTTTAGATTTGTATTTATTAAAAGATTTACGATGAGGATTATGCTATAAAAAAAATCTCATAATTAAAATTTGAATTAGTTCCTTATAAATAGGTAGGTAAAATATTGGTTTATTAAGACATTTAAATTTTGATAGATTAGGATTACAAATAATGACAAATAAATCCAATGGGATAAGAGTGTAATTACTGAAGAAAATTAAAGGATATTTCAGATTTGTGTTTCAGGTTTAATAGTTTAGATTTCTTTCTACACAAAAACCTTGGAAAAAACACTTTAACAAAATAATGAAAGAGTAATAATAATAAAAAAAGTGAAACTGAATAAAATTATAGATAAACTCTGTGCCTGCGGGGGGGTAAAAAACCCTAGTTTATTAATAAAAGTACAGATGACAAAAACAAAGGCAGCATCTCGATATATTTGCTATTCAGTTTTACTACAACTTTTCAAATAAGTTTCATGTCAAAGCCTCTTCCATGTTCTTGGCGATTATTCCAAGTGCTTTCTCATACTTCTTCACCAGATCATCTAGAGACCATCCTCTAACGGGATCAACAGTGAAACCCCACTCAATCACACAACCTTCTTCGTCTGATGGCAATATCCTCACCGTCGAGACATATGACTCGAATCCAATGTTACTTTCCACTATCTCGTATCTCATCACTCGCTCCACGGGATCAACGGCCACCAACTTCTCCCTAGACCATCCCACGGTGGATTCGACGCCGTTGGATCGTATGGAAGAGCCGGAGCAGAATCTGATGCAGCCGAGTTCACCGTTGATGCCGTGGACGCCGTGACACGTGGTCAGTGTTGGGAGCCACTTGTTGAAATTGAAGAAATCGGTAAAGAGAAGCCAGATTTGGTTTGGCTTTCCTTTTGTGAGCGTAACTGACACTTTGGCTTGCCATTTTTTCGGGCTTGATGCTTTTTCCATGTCAAAGAGAGGATCTATCAAAACAAACAAAAAAAAGAGAATCAGATAGAAAGTAGATATGAAATCAAGATATCTTATTATACTATGATATTACATTTATGTAACCATCTCAGATATACTAACGATATGGAGAATTAATTTAGTTACCTTTATAGGTATGGATTCTCAGCCGTTAAGATCGATAGATTCAATGAGATAGTATGGAGTCTATGGACTATGGACAGTTTATGCTCTTGGATCTTGAGATCTATGTGTTTGCCAGATAGAAATATAATTAAGGACAATTGTAGAAAGCAAAACTCCACAGATTTATGAATATTTAATTAAGAGTTTTTTTGGGTTCACTCAAATTTCTTGGGTTCACTCAAATTACCACATAATATAATACAACATTTACAGTTGGATTTATTACATTTATTCTTTGGTGCTTGTGTTTTTCCTTGGTCCAAATTTTTTTAATATTAAGCTTTATGTATCAATGAATATTTTTCAGTTGGGAATGCAGAAAACAAACAAACAAAACATGAATTTTTAAACCTGTGCATGATCGCTGTAACAAAAAAGAAAGTACGCCCTTACCGTCAAACCGATGATTGAAAGAGACTTATTAAGGTTTTGTTCGGAAAATTCAATATCTTCACTTGATCCTTTCTGTTTTGAATTTAGATCCATCATGGAAAGTTATTTCTATTTCTCAATGGTCCCATTGCTAGTTTTTTTTTCACCTTAGTATCCTTAAGATCTGGGTTGGTGTGTGGTTTTTTTCACTTCAGTCTCCATAATTCAAAACCAATCACAGTTCCTAGGTTGATTTCATGTACAAAAATAACCACATGACTAGGATCGAAGCAAGGTACAAACTATAAAACATCTTCCTCATGTTTATTATATGTTTCCTTAAAGGTTAGCAAAAGATAGTTAATTTGGGGAAGCTTATATGGCATGGTTTTAATGGGATTTGATCATGTCATACGTCTAGTTTTAAAGTCTTTATATTGCATTAATAGTCACTAGATTCTGACCCGCGCTTAAAAATCGCGGGTTTATTTTTGAAATAAATCAAATTCTTCTAAATGAATTTTTATATAAGATAATGTATATGTTATACATTTTTCCAGGTGAACCGAATCGTATCAAACTGAAAAAAAAAAAACAAAAATTAAACCAAATTTCATAAATAATCGATCATATCATATATTTTCTGGAACCGAAAAATAGAAACCGAACCGAGAACCAAATGGGTATTTAAAATTTTTAAAATATAAATTATATACCTAAAATATTAATTATATATAATATTTAAATACTAAATATCATGAAATATTATTTAAACCAAATTAGGCAAAAATAAATTACCCGAATATTTTCTATTCAAAATATTGAAGATATTCAAACTATCTGATATTTTAATTGTAGGATAGTATACATTTAAAATTAAATAAAAACGTATCATATGCATAGTTAGAATTTGTAAAATAAATAAACATCTATACTATTAAAATCTCCAACCCATTTTATTTTTATATATACAATTAATCATTTAGTTCATGTATAAAAATGTAATATCATATTTTAATAATTGATTGCTTGTAATTAACTAAATCAATGTTTCGTAGTTGAATATTTGACACCAAAGCTTTTTTAACTTCCAATTTATGTAAAAATATTAAATATATTAAAGTATATAGAGATTTATTGTTAGAGTAATTATGTAGTAGATTATGGAAAGTAATAAATGAGTTCACTTAAATTATAAAGTATTTATATAGTTAGAGAAATAGTATTTATATAGTTAGAGAAATATAAGGGAAGACCAAAAAATGTTAATCTAATGAAAGGGTCCAAACAACTTGTATAAGTAGATTTTTTAGGACTCCTTCTCTTTTAATAGTATTTATTCTAGAATCTTTTAAGATTTAGATACGTTGTGGGAAACTTTAGAGATTCTGAAACTATTTGAAGTAAAGAACTACTAGCTGCGTCAGAAGTTTGGTAACAGATAGAAGACTTCCCACGGTGCGATTGAGCTCATCTGTTGACATAAGATAGAGCCTTGATGTAGATTTCTAATGCAACCGGAATGAGGTCAATCAAGAACCTAGATAAAAAATATATAGTTATTTTACTGAATAGTGATCCGTCTGATGCACGAAGAAGAAGCAATCGAGAATCAAGTAGTGTTGAAAGACATGCTAAGGATAACGATCGACACTCCCCCTAATCGAGTCTCAAAGAGTATTAATATCCAATAATTGCAATTTTAGCCTAGAAGTTTCTCATATTTACGAAAGAGCCGATGACGTGTCTTAAACCATATATAATGTTTTATAAGTCATTATTGATGCCTACCCTTTTGTTTTAAGTTTTATTTCAATTTGGTTTTAAGATTGGAGAGAAGAAAAAAAAATTCTTCAGGAGTCTTCTTGGAACTCATGTGAATTTATCTTTGAAGTTTATTCATTCTATGATTATGTTTGCATCTTTCATATCTGAATAATTATCTTGTTAGATTTAGGGATTTTATGTTCTTAATGTTAAAATGATAATCATAGGAATGCTAGGATTACTTACTGAATGCTACACTAGAGTGGCTTGTAATACTAGGATCTAGAGTAGTTTCAATAGAACGAAAGTGTGACTGATTACCAGAACCTAATCTTGCTGGACTAAATACTTACTCCCAACAAGTGTTGGTAAAGGGTTTAGTTGAACATATTTGAATCTTGCTTATTGCTTATTTAATTCATCGAGTTCGCAGCAAGAGTTGGAAGTTGATTAGAATTATGCATCTGATAGTTTATCTCACTAAGAATTGGATAACTTATTATTGATATTCGAGTTCTAGAAATGCACCTTACAAATTATTGGCATCTAATGATTTACTAGGAGTTTATCTGCGCCATGCGCAGAAATAATGATTTTAACTATTGTATTATTTTATTTTAAATTATGTGTACATTCTTAAGAATATTTTATATGTAAAATTTACTTATTTTAAAAACTATAAATGAATTTTGGTAATGTTTTATTTTATTCAATCTTTCAGTTTGATTCTATTTAGATTTCAATAGATTTAAAATAATTTTTTATTTATATTATATTATATTATATTGAATGATTATTTATTTTGAATATATTACTTATTACTTATTTTAAATACATTTTTATTTAAATAGATAAATTCTAATAAACTTTGGAGTCTTATTTGTGTTTATAAAAATATGTTAAACTAAGAAAATTAAATATGTTAATAAAACTAATAAAATAATAAATTTAAATAAATCTAGTCATTTAAATATCAAAATTGTTTTGATTGAATTAGTATTTATTTAGTTTTTTATTTTGATGATTTATATTTTATTATAAAAATATGATATATAAGTTGATAAAAATAATTTTAATTACATTTAGTATATTTTTATTAATGTGATATATATATATACATATATACATATATACACACACACACATATATATATATATATATATATATATATATATATTCTTTTAATGATGATATATGATGAATTATTAGTTATGAATAATATATTTCAAAATTCTTGCAAAAAATATATATCTATATAAAAAGTTACGTTAATGATGATATAACAGTTACTAGTCAATACCAATTTAAAAGAAAATTTGCAAAAATATTAAAATTTTAATAAAGGAAAGTGTATAATTCATAGTTAGGCTAATGTCATGTCATATTTTTCAAAAGACATTTCATCTTCTTCTTTTTTGTAAGAATGCATGTGGTAAGGATACGAATAAAAATCAGTTCGCAAATAATATTGGGCTTTTTGCAGAATTGACCTGAAACTTGAAGTCAACCACAAAACTAACCTCCTTTTTTTTGGAACTTTATTTTGCCCAATTCACCCCACAAGTTCATATAATTCACGAAAATGCCATCAATATTTTTTTTTTTTCGAAAATAACATATTTACTCTCTCACTCTCATCATCTTCAAGTAATTACAAGATTGTCATTGTCATCAATACTCCAACAACCATGAACAACCAATTTTGAAGCTCTTAATGCCTCCAAATTCCATTTACCCTTCTTATTTCTCTATTCTCATGAACTAAACAACACATTACAACACATATCTCTCACTTTCTCTCCACAAAGAGCTAAAAACACCCAAGATTTTGATTCTACATTTTTTAGGGTTCATATAGTCAAAGAAATTAAAGATTCATGGTGGATTACCTTCGTTTGAGCTCCTGAGTGCTTGATTCTACATTTTCTAGGGTTCATATAGTCAAAGAAAGTGCTCTCACCAATTGAAGGTATGAAATCGAGTTATTTTTTGCGATCTGTTCATCCAGACGACTGAAATTTCAGTCGTTTGCTTTCGTCCAGTCAACGCAGAAGTTATATTTGCAATTGACTTTGCAATTTGTTTCCAGAGACGACTGAAATTTCAGTCGTCTACTTTATTTTGGCTACAAAAAAATATCTTAAGAATCTAGACGACTGATATTTCAGTCGTCGTATGTTAGTTTTGCATTTGACTAGAAAATTTCAGAATTTTGACTTTCTAGGACGACTGAAATTTCAGTCGTCTGCGAAAAAACTGAAATATCAATTTTTTATTGGAACGCACGACTTACAATAGGTTAGTTTTGCAATT